TGTGTTGCAAGGTGTGCGTCTGAATGTCTAGCATTTATGTGCGCTTCCACAAACACTCCCAAATATCAAGCTGAGACGGTTGCAGGATCTTTTTGCTAGAGTTGCATTTGTTATGAATATGCGCTTACCTTATGCCCACAAGAAGTTATTGCGCAAAATGGACAAAGAAAGGTTGGCTGATTACATGAAATGAAAGTGGCAGGATGCATGTGTGCCACTTCAGGCAGCAAATCTTATAACACAAACTAACTACAGTGGTACCTTGGTTCTCGAACTTAATCCGTTCGACTCCCGGAACCATTCAAAAACCAAGGCACGGTTTCCAATTGGCTGCAGGAGCTTCCTGCACTCAATCGGAAGCCTTGGAAGCAGCGTTGGATGTTCGACTTCCGAAAAATGTTTGCAAACCGGAGCACTCAGTTCCGGGTTTGCGGCGTTCAGGAGCCGATTTGTTTGGGAGCCAAGCCGTTCGACAACCAAGGTACCACTGTATCCCCAAAAGACAAAAGGAACTGAGGGCTCATCCACACGTCCACTTGTCCTGTGCCTGGAAATGATTTTTTGCTGATAAGTAGGTTACTTGCTGATAATTTACCTCAAGTTTTTAAAATATCAGGAAACCTTCCAGGACATGTTCAAGATGAGGACTTGTCCCAGGATCAAGAAAGTTCATTGAGGAGTATATTCTATATTGAATGATACCAACTGTACTGATACCATGATATACAGTAACAAACCACCTAAAAAGTTCAGAATTGCACAGACACCATTACAGATGCTGTTCCTGCTGACTTTCCACTGTAGTGCCTCTCCAGGGATGGGAAGTCTGTGTGAGTGTGGGAAATTGCAGTCAAACATAACTACACATGAGTGCTAGTTAGAGTGTGAAGGGGTTAAGACCACAGAGTTCTGTTCCCAGACTCAGCTAGGTCACACCCCCTCTTCTTCATGAGGAAGGAAGCAAAGCTTCTCCTTCTTCCTATTCCTCACTCTCTTTCAGCCATGTAACCGACTAGGATGTAAGTGTCTGAACAAGTTCAGACCATATGTTTGAAACTCTATTACGTATTTTGCATAGTAATCTACCTGTGTTCTCCTTGCTGCTGCATGGAACAATGCATGAAGAATGCATTTGAATTTAGTAAGTAAAACTTTTAAACTAACTTAAGAATGTAGAGGAGGGCAAAGGCTTTAAAGCAGGCTAAAAGGGATGTGCAAAAGGGTTTAACAAACTATACTTCACACTATTCTGCTGCTTAATTCTGTGAACGTTTTAAACTCTCCTGGGGGTTCTTTGTGGATGGAGAGTGTGCAAAACCCCACGTTTTGAATATAGGAGCCCAGGTAATTCTTTTGTTAATTGCTCACACAGTGAGAACTAGACAAAGGCCCATCAGCTCCCAGACTGCTAGACCAGTGGCACTGGCTACAATCACTGCGCCAGCACTGCACCCCCATTTCATTATTTACAAAATGTGAACAAATTGGGTCCACCACCATCCCCACCTCAGCTGCCACAGATGGGCAAGATAGAAAACACTGGACTGACGCAAATGCACTGAAACATCATCTGGAAGCTTTGCAAAAAGGATTTATTGAATTGCTGCATTTATGTATCCTGCCTTTCCTAATCCCCATGTTATCTCCACGACAACTCTGTGAGGTGGGATAGGCTGAGAGTGAGTGACTGGCCCCAAAGTCACACCCAGTGAGCTTCGTGGCTGAGTGGGAATTGAAACCCTGGTTGTGAGCCCAGCCCAACATTCTAACCGCTACGTCACACTGGCTCTCTAAAGCAGGCTTCCTCAACCTCGGCCCTCCAGATGTTTTGGCCTACAACTCCCATGATCCCTAGCTAGCAGGACCAGTGGTCAGGGATGATGGGAGCTGTAGTCTCTAAACATCTGGAGAGCTGAGGTTGAGGAAGCCTGCTCTAAAGGAAACAGATTGGTGAATGAGGAGAGGGTGGTGATTCTAAGGGCCAGTGCACTCCCCCACTGCTCCGTTCTGGGTGTGGGACCCCATAAGGTTCAGAGCGAAGAGGGACTGACTGGTCACGCCTGCCTTGCTGAAGCAGCACTTTGCCACGTGGGCTGGGTGATGATAGCTGCAGTCCTGGTGAGTGGATGAGTTTAATTAAATTCCAGCTGAATGGACTGCTGTGGGGAAGGGAGATAACACATGTGCAGGGTGGCAATTTTGCAATGCTAACGTCTTCTCAAAGGTTACATAATTGCAGCTATGATCCACCCTGGAAAGACTAGCCCGCCAGTCTCTGTTTGGAGAACTTCTTCTTCTGCAAAAATGCAAATGGGAACAGAGTCAAACGGAACATCAGGTTCATCTAATCCAGTATCCTGTTCTCACAGTGGATGCCTCTTTTGAGAAACCGGTAAGCAGGGTCTGAGCACAAGACCCACCTCCTGCGGTTTCCAGGAACTGGTTTTCAGTAGCATTGCTGCCTTCAAGGCTATCTCAAAGGTGTACAGAGGAGGGCAACCAGGATGATCAAGGATCTGGAAGGCAAGCCTTATGAAGAACAGTTGAGGGAGTTGGGTGTGTTTAGTCCGGAGAAGAAAAGACTGAGAGGTAATAGGATAGCCATCCTTAACTATCTGAAGGGCAGTCACAAGGAAGATGGAGCAAGCTTGTTTTCTGCTGCTCTGGAGGGAAGAACCCAATCCAATGACTTCAGGTGACAATAAAGGAGATTCTGACCAAACATTAAGAGCTTTCTGATGATGAGAGATGTCCAACAGTGGGATAGTCTCCCTTGGAAGATGGTGAACTTTCCTTCTTGGAGATTTCTAAACAGAGGTTGGATGGCCATCTGCCAGGGATTCTTTAGCTGCGATTCATGCATTGCAGGGGGTGGAATAGATGACCCCTGGGTGTACCTTCCAGCCCTACAATTCTGTGAAACTCTGTCAAATGGGCAGCCCACTGCCAGGAGAGAGGAGCAGGCTTCATATTTTAAACCTCTTGCAGGATTCAATTATGTCCAGGTGCCCAGGCCTGGCATTCACTTCATGATGCCTTAATTTCCATACCTCCAAGTCCAAAACAGAGCTATAACTAACGGCAGCTGACCTGACTTCAATGCAGGCATGAGCAAAATTAAAATTCCCTTTCCCACTTCCCAAGAGCAGCCAAGCTGCCCTCTGCAGCTGAGATTTACAAAGAGGCTTGCTAATGGAGCCTTCCTCGTGAGAATTGGCTTCAGGTGAGCCGTCCATTATTTATTATATTTACTTGCTAAATGTATTAATCACTTTCCTCTCGCAAGGTGCCCAGTAAGTCACTGCTGATTTGCCAGCCTCCTGGTTTTTGCAACCATTTACAGCCCACCCAGGCCCAGTGGCTGAGCATATGACAGTGGTGCCCAGGGCGGATGGTGCTGTGCTGGTCCCGTGGCGAGGTCCAAGTCTGGTCCGTAGTCAAAGGTGCAACATGGAGGCTGTCCATAGTAGCTGGAGCTGGGTGCAGGGCAAGGAGTCGGGTGAAGTCAGGAACAGGCTTGCAAGCAGGGAGCCAGGTCAGGTCAGGAGCTCAGGCAGGAAAGCAGAACAGGGTTCAGGCAGCAACTAGCAACCAACAATGCTGCTCCCACAACTTGGGACTGGGGCTGGCTGGCTTTTATCTACCCCAAGGCATAGGACGGCCCCGATCCTCTGGTGACTCACCTCTCCTGGCCTGGAGATGAGCACTCCTCCTGCAGGACCTTAGTTCCCTCTGCCTCTCTGCCCTGAGCCTCTGCAGCTCAGGAGAGGCTGGAGGGTTACCGGACCCAGAGGCAACCTCAGCTTCCTCTGACGGGGCTGAGAGTGGAGCACCTGCAGGCAATGGGTCCTCCATCACCTCAGGAGCCAGAGCAGACTCAGCTGATGCCTGCACCTGAGGATCCAGCACAGGTGAGGACCCTTCAGGCTCATGCCCCAGCCCTGGCTCAGCTGGTTCTGGAGGCGGGGAATCCTGTGCAGGCTGGGATCCCTCAGGTTCAGCATCCGAGTCTGAATCCCAGGCCATCACAGGTGCCCTCCCAGGCATGGGATAGGCACTCGGGTGCATGGAGTGCTGTGTGCACCCTGCAGTTGGGGGCAGAGCAAGCCGCTGATGGTGGACATTCGATGCACCACCCGCCCATGACTCCCAAGCCTCCCCCAAGCTTTCAAAACAAAGGGGGAAGGAGAGGAATGCCGTTGGCAAAGGGGCGCAGTTCCTGCCTTCCCCTGATGGCTCAGAGTAGGCTTTGGCGGCGCGGGCAGGCATCGCGCCAAATGTCACCCCCCTCAGCGAAGACACCCAGAGCGGTCCACCCCCACCAAAAACCCTTCCTCTGCCCCTGCCCAGGCCTCTCCCAGGCCTTGCTATACCTGGAGCTGCGTTCAAAACACTATCAAACCCTTTGTCATGTAAATGCAAAGCTGAACATCACACACAATGTGATGGGCTGTATGTAATTATATGAATTCCTTTTTTAAAAAAATCTTGTTAGCAATATCCAGTTCTTATGTTAGCAATATGCTAACTGAACAGATTGTATTTCCTGGTCAATCTGCTGGACTCTAATTTCTCATAATATGTTTTGTTTATATGATAAGTTGGTCTACAGAACCACATATTCTGATACGACATGTTGAATTGTATTTTAAAAAGAATTAAATAAGAATTTAAGAAAAGAATTCATATAATTACATACAGCCTGTCACATTGAGTGTGTTGTTCATGCCTGGAGCGGCAGCAACTTCCCCCAGGCTGGCTCTGTCCCAACACGCAGCCACAGAATGCCCACAACCTTTTTCTTCAAGGAGCTCAAGGTGGAATACATGGTTTACCCCCTCCTCGCTTTATCCCCACAACAACCCTGTGAGGTAGGTTAGGCTGAAAGGCAATGACTGGCCCCCAAGGCCATGGCTGAGTGGGGATTAGAACCCTGGTCTTCTAACCACTACAGCATGCTGACCCATAACTGTCAAGCGTCCCTTATTTGGCGGGACAGTCCCTTATCCCAGCGCCATGTCCCGTTGCTGTCCCTTATTGATGATGTCCCTTAAATAAGCTACTGAAGGTAATGGGGCCCTTTCTTTGTCCAGCTGTGCTTTGTCAACAACAAATTGTTGCTGTTTTTTTTGTGTTGAATATATGCTATATGGTAATTTATGGACCTAATAGGTATCTAAAGCCATTTGCACGCAACAAAATATGTATTTTATCAAAGTAATTGTTGATCCCTTATTTTGGCTGCTGATCCCTTATTTTCGAGGCTGCTGGTCCCTTATTTTCAAATCTGTAAGTTGACAGCTATGTGCTGGCCCCTACTCAGGCCCCATTCTCACCATAGAATGAAAGTACTGTGATACCACTTTAAACAGCCATAGCTGCCCCCAAAGAATTATGGGAGCTGTAGTCTGTTAAGGATGCTGAGCAGCGTTAGGAGACTCCCTATCCCCGCCCTCCTCATCTGCTACAATTCCCAGAGTAGTCAATCGCTCTTTCCAGGGAAGTGTGGGAACTGTAGCACAGAAACCCATCCAAAAGTTACTCTGTCCCAGTGGCGGAGATTCATGCTCTGGCACCGGGGGTGGAGGGTGGGGTAGCATGGCTGGCACATATCCCAGGGGTGTGGCATGCGTCCTGGGGGCATGGCACGCCGTTTGCTGGGGCGTGGCACCCAGCGCGGGGGGGGCAACCACGATGGCACCCCACCGGGATCCTGATGCTGGGGGCGGGGCGCTCCACCGCCCCCTCTTCCTCCGACAGCGTTCTGTCCATCTGGAAGCTCTAGCATGTTGCAATATACATCTAGAAAGGCATCAGGTAGGCTTTCCTGTATTTCCCACCTCCAAATAGCTACAAGCCATGATGGTTATTATTATCCCCCTACATGGTTGGAGTGGTGGGACGCGGGTGGCGCTGTGGGTTAAACCACAGAGCCTAGGACTTGCCGATCAAAAGGTCGGCGGTTCGAATCCCCACGACGGGGTGAGCTCCCGTTGCTCGGTCCCTGCTCCTGCCAACCTAGCAGTTCGAAGGCATGTCAAAGTGCAAGTAGATAAATAGGTACCGCTCCAGCGGGAAGGTAAACGGCGTTTCTGTGCACTGCTCTGGTTCGCCAGATGGAGCTTAGTCATGCTGGCCACATGATCCGGAAGCTGTACGCCTGCTCCCTCGGCCAATAAAGTGAGATGAGCGCCGCAACCCCAGAGTCAGTCACGACCGGACCTTTACCTTACATGGTTGGGGGCAGCAAGGACAATAGGCTCAGGAACTGAAATCATTCCTGACCCGAGGCAGCAGCAATCAGACGGCTGCAGATATATGCAAATGGGGACCTTTACAGGAAGTGAGGGACGCGGGTGGCGCTGTGGGTAAAACCTCAGTGCCTAGGACTTGCTGATCGTATGGTCGGCGGTTCGAATCTCTGCGGCGGGGTGAGCTCCCGTCGTTCAGTCCCAGCTCCTGCCCACCTAGCAGTTCGAAAGCACTCTTAAGTGCAAGTAGATAAATAGGTACCACTTTATAGCGGGAAGGTAAACGGCATTTCCGTGTGCTGCGCTGGTGCTGGCTCGCCAGCTGTAGCTTCGTCACGCTGGCCACGTGACCCGGAAGTGTCCTCGGACGGTGCCGGCTCACGGCCTCTAGAGCGAGATGAGCACGCAACCCTAGAGTCGGACACGACTGGCCCGTACGGGCAGGGGTACCTTTACCTTTACCTTTTTAGGGGAAGTGAGCAGACCGCAAACATCAAGTGGCTTCGTCTGTGAATCCAGTTTTGCACCACAATCCTAAACAAAATTCCCTTGTCCGTAAGTCATGCAAGAGTTCACTCCCATTTTCTTCCAAGTAAGGGCACCAGGAATGAGGCCTCCTCCCTTTTAAAAATGTGTCTTGTTAGGTGAAAGGAATAATCGTGGGAGAAACCAGAGTCCATTCTGGGTCTTGCTGCCCAGTTTGGGGAACTCCAGTGATGATGAGGAGAAGGAAGAGGATCTCCTGACAGCTTTGGGAGCCAGGAATTCCCCTGCTGGACATTTCTGCAGAGAAAGAGGGAGGGAGGGTGAGCGAGAGAAGCCGCTTCATTTGCATTCAGATGTGCCAGTTACTGTTTTCAAGTCCCAGGATGTGATTCCGATGAAAGACAGTTAATTCAATTTCAACAGAGAAATTGATTAATGGACTGGATTAAAATAAATCCCTGATGTCCCCAAGACTGCAAAGCATACCAATTCCACTTTCTCTCCCAGTTTCTTCCTTCTCTTCTTTGCATGGTTATTCCACTTTTTTTGGGGGGGGGGCAAAATAAAATAAAGGGAGAAGGAGCAGATTGTGTGTGTGTGGGTTGTGTGTGTGTGTGTGTGTGTGTGAGAGAGAGAGAGAGAGAGAGAGAGAGAGAGAGAGAGAGAGAGAGATTAAACACACCTTCCTCTTTAATTAGCTTGATTTATATGCATTTATACTAACAGACTAGCCTGTTGGGAATACATTGATCTTGGGTTTCTTCTCGCTGCCTCCAGCAGATTTCAGAAATGAATATGCATTTGCAAGAAGCAAAACATAAAGAAGGATGCAGAACTCTCAGTATGTAGGTCAAAGCCTCCACACTCCAAAGGGAGCCCTTGGCACCAGGCAGACTTCTGACTTCTGTACTTCAGGGACTGATCTGTGTCTGGACTGGGCAGCGGAGGGTCCAGGGCCCTGCTGCACTTCATCTTCACCAACCTTCTCTTATTTTAAATATTTAGACAATGGGTCCCAACCTTTTCTGAAAATGTGGAGTGTATAATCTCAGGAAAAGACAGGGGAGGCTGACTGCTGTGCATTCCACAACTGTCTGTGGCTATTTTATTTTTTAATGAAGTCTTTAATGAATGGTTGGTAGGAAGTTTTGGGGTTTTTTATTAAGAAGGTAAAGGAAAAGACTTCACTGAAAATAATGACTAATCAGTTGATGGAAGTCAGTCTCCCTGGGGTTTTGCACTTCAGGGGAAATGCTACAGGAAGACTCCATAGAGAGCCAGTGTGGTGTAGTGGTTAAGAGCGGTGGACTCGTAATCTGGGGAACCGGGTTTGCTTCCCTGCTCCTCCACATGCAGCTGCCGGGTGACCTTGGGCCAGTCACACTTCTCTGAAGTCTCTCAGCCCCACTCACCTCACAGAGTGTTTGTTGTGGGAGAGGAAGGGAAAGGAGAATGTTAGCCGCTTTGAGACTCCTTAGGGTAGTGATAAAGCGGGATATCAAATCCAAACTCTTCTTCTTCTTCTCTTCTTCCAGAGAGCAGGAAGCCCAGGGAGGCAGGGAGCCTCCAGAAAGCTGGAGAGATATTTCATGGAAAGAAAAGCAAATGCCACCATCTTCCACCCTCGTCACCTGTCATGGGCAGGTTCGATGCAGAAGAATAGTGGGAGGAACCAGCTGAGGAAACCTCAACGAAAGAAGGCTCAGAGGCCAGGGAGCAGTGTTGAGACTACAAAGAGGTAAAAGATGGGGAAGAAGAGGTAACAGGGGTTCGTGAGCAGGAAGCGTCTGTGGCAGAGAGAAGTCCAGAATCAGAATGTTATGTACAGTGGTACCTCGGGTTAAGTACTTAATTCGTTCCGGAGGTCTGTACTTAACCTGAAACTGTTCTTAACCTGAAGCACCACTTTAGCTAATGGGGCCTCCTGCTGCCGCCGCGCGGCTGGAGCACGATTTCTGTTCTCATCCTGAAGCAAAGTTCTTAACCTGAAGCACTATTTCTGGGTTAGCGGAGTCTGTAACCTGAAGCATATGTAACCCGAGGTACCACTGTACTGAGTTGAATAGGATCCAAAATGCAGCAGTCTGGTTGGTCCTAGAACAATAGGATTCAGAATGCAGCAGTCTGATTGGTCCTAGAACAATAGGACCCAGAATGCAGCAGTCTGATTGGTCCTAGAACAATAAGACCCAGAATGCAGCAGTCTGATTGGTCCACAGGAGCCACCCAATCCAGCTCCAGGTGGAAGGGAATCCACAACCTGATTGGCCTACAGGAGAATCCCGGAATTAGCCAATCACGTGGGGCCCATTGTGCAAATAATGTATATAAAGCAGACATTCTGGGGGAACTTCCATTCCTCCTCACCACTATGAGCTGAATAAAGAGCATGAAATCCACTCTCGACTCCGAGTATATTTCACAGAAGCAGGAAAGTGGGATGAGGGAGCCCAAGAGGCAGAGATGAGCCATGCTGTTGAAGAGGCACAAGTGTCTTCCCTTCCTGCTGTGACTCCCAGAACCAGGAGCAGCATGAAGAGGGCGGAGGAGCAATTAGCACCACACAGGCGCAGTCTCAGATTGCTTGGGGGAAACCCTAGAGAGGAGGGGACTTAAGCAGTTGTTTTCTTAAATACTACATGGGGGCAAGACCTACCAGAGATGAGTTGCTGTGCTCATTAGGCCTGACACCCCTGTGCATATCTTGTTTTTTGACTCTGCTTGCTTCGTGTGATTTGCTGTTGGCTTGCTCTTGTCATCACCAGCATGAAGCCCTGAAGTAAGGCCAACCTCTCCTGCAAGAAGTTCTAAAGTGCCTTATGAATGAGGCAGAGAAATGGGAACCTCTTTGGCCAAGAGGAAGAGATCTTTTGAGGAGAAGATTACAGGGGAGGAAAGTCTTTGAGGACGTGGAGGAGTAGTCAGGGGGAAAGAGCTGCATCAAGCCTTTGGCTGCCTGTATTGCCAGCAATTCAAGGATGGTAAGGATGAAAAGAAGATGTCTCTGCAAACAGAGCTCATTGCAAATGCAGCTTATCTCCTCAATTCCTCACACGGTGTTACGGGGTTGCTTGGGGCCCCTAGGAAGCTCAGCCAGGCTACAAGCTGATCTTGAAAGATCAGTGCTTCACATACATGTGTGCAGCCCAACAGCCCATCTTAGAAAACTGTTATGAGTTGGGGGTAGTGGTCAGTCTGGATAGAGTCCCTTCCTGTTCTTAGGGTCCTGTACCCAGGGAGGGTTAGAATCTAAGAGAGAATCCTGTTGCTGAACTAGTCAGAATTCAGACAATGAGCTTAACTGTCCACTTAAGTCTCCTCATCAACACCCCCAAAGAATTAACGATGGTGCAAGAGCTACAGCTGAGTGATGGGACCCTCCAGGTTAAGAAGAAGAGTTTGGATTTGATATCCCACTTTATCACTACCCTAAGGTGTCTCAAAGCGGCTAACATTCTCCTCACCGTCAGTTTTGCCATTTTGGCATAGTTTATCATCTAACCCTCATGGCTTTTGAGGGAGCATTCCTCAATCACCCGAAGA